TTATGGTGATTACTATTCATACAACAATACCGCCAGAGCTCTCATCTTCAGAAGAGATCAAGTATTGAATTATTTATATTTGTTTTTCTTTTCATACAATAAGAGAAAGCAATCATTTATTTTATTGCAATCATATATTTTACCCTCAAATTAGTCTAAAGTGAGAGATTTGACAACACTTTATAGTCTTATGAGATATAATGACTTTGAAAACGTACGCAAGTCAGCAACGCTAACACACGGAGGCAAGTGGCGGCTCATGCGGTAGCGGCGGGCGTTACTAGAGTTGGTTGGCCTGCCGTGCATAGGCAAGCTGCGGGAGCCCAAGTCCCTAACCCCGCGCATTGATGTCAAGATCACGACCAATGATATGGCCAAACGGTTCGAGATGCTGGTCGTCAGCAGCCCTTCGTATGAAAGACAGCAACCGTTTCAGTGGTCGACAACTAAGCTATCGAAGAGCATCCGACACGAGGGACATCCAGACAAGTGGGCCTTCAGTCCATATTTCATCAAATGGTATCCATACGACACAGAGATCGCAGGCGTGACCATCGCTGAGTCGCCCGCCCTTTAGAGTGATTACAATTAGTACAATAAACAATACAATTAATACCGGTATTTAGTATAAGTATAAAAATTTAAAAACAATTGTTTTATTTATTTACAACTTTCAAACTATACATTAAATTTCCTATCATTTGATTTTAAAAATAAATATACTTTAAAAACAAGAAAATTAATGGGAAATGATTTATCAATTAATATCGTTATTAAATGCGTTCAGTCGTTGCGATTGTGTGCCTCCGTTCACCGCCGAGTACGCCATCGCCGCCCGCAATGATCTCAACCAACCGGACGGCACGTATCCGTTCGACGCCCTCGGGTTCAGGGATTGGGGCGCTATTGATGTCAAGATCACGACCAATGATATGGCCAAACGGTTCGAGATGCTGGTCGTCAGCAGCCCTTCATATGAAAGACAGCAACCGTTTCAGTGGTCGACCACTAAGCTATCGAAGAGCATCCGACACGAGGGACATCCAGATAAGTGGGCCTTCAGTCCATATTTCATCAAATGGTATCCATACGACACAGAGATCGCAGGCGTGACCATCGCTGAGTCGCCCGCCCTTTAGAGTGATTACAATTAGTATAATAAACAATACAACTATTAATACCGGTATTTAGTATAAGTATAAAAATTAAAAACAATTGTTTTATTTATTTACAACTTTCAAACTATACATTAAATTTCCTATCATTTGATTTTAAAAATAAATATACTTTAAAAACAAGAAAATTAATGGGAAATGATTTATCAATTAATATCGTTATTATTAGGCATTTTTCTAACACTTGTTTTAAGATAAGTTGGGCACAAGAGGTAAAGCTGTAATCAATTGATGGCAATCTCTAAAACGCCAATCAATTAAGAAATATAACTACAATTTGTTCGTTAAAATTATTGCTATAAATAAATAACACATTAATTTGACTGACAATTAGTTGTCTCAATGAGGGGTCGGTTTCTTGCCGTCGACGTAGAAATTTCTGGTCACCGCTGGAAGTGTTAATTCAATACCAGACAACTCTGGAGTCAGCATTATTTGACAACCTATTGAAAGGGTAGGAAACAAATCATTAATATATACATCAAAATGACAACATATGGTGGGATCAGTTGCGGACTTAGTCTGGAGTTGGACTTGAGCTGCGGCGCCATATCTAACATATCCTCTTCGTCTTCTGTGGGCGCCGGGAGTTTGTCGTAAAAGTCTTGTCTGACGTATACGTGACACGTGCAACAGGCCAGCGATGCCTCGCACGCGCCCTCGATGTCCACCCCATTATCATGTGCCAAATACATGGCATTCTGGCCAACGGTTCCCTTCACGGCCTTCCGGTCGCCGCTTTTGGTCACGTATATCACGTTCACGTCTTCGGCCGCCGACTCCTTCGCATTGGCCACCGGTTTATCACTCAATGTCCGCCACTTGTGGCCCAACGACAGCAATCTCTTGGCGCGGATTAAGTCATTAAACAATACATTTCTGGCCAAACATAACATCGTTTCGTGACTTTCATAAGGCTTTCGATGCGATAAACAAACAGTTTATGCAATCGTTTGTTGCCTTTCACTACACGTGCCTTCAGTTGCCATACATTCAGACATACATTACGTCTACAAAACCACTCAATCATTGAATTAAATGACAGGAAATTGTCTAAAAATTGTATTTATTGTTTGAAATGATTTAATTGAATACAAAAGAAGACCAAATGAATGGCAGAGAGAGAGAGAGAGAGAGATCGATTACCCAGAGATCGGTGAGAATATCGCTCCTCGACATCGGTTTATGTCGGCCTACGAGCAGAAGATAGAGCCGCCGGACCGTCGCTGGCAATACCTGCTGTTCGCCGCCGAACCTTAGAGAGAGAGAGAGAGAGAGAGAGAGAGAGAGTCTACTGATTCTGATTGTGTGATGGATTGGTCTGATGGGGAGGCGGGGGTGCGTCGGGCGGGAACTTAGGGACGGATCCCTTCGGCGGCTCCACTTTGAAGGCGAACTGCAGGAAGAACTGTTTGGCCTCTTTGTTCCATAGCGTCCAGAACTTCTCTTCGGTTTTGTCGACTTCACGTGAGGGCACTTTAAAGCCAATCGTCTCATAAGGTTCGGCGGCGAACAGCAGGTATTGCCAGCGACGGTCCGGCGGCTCTATCTTCTGCTCGTAGGCCGACATAAACCGATGTCGAGGAGCGATATTCTCACCGATCTCTGGGTAATCGATCTGTACATCCATTAGTATAAGGAAGACAATCATTAGTACAATCAATGGCAACACAACAGCGCATTGGGTGTCACCTGAAAGAGGAGCGACTGTTGGTTGAGCTCCGGGTCGAGTTGTTTGGTGACCCGATAGCCGGGTCTTCCGATTTTGACGAACTTCTTGATGTCAACCCTTTGCTTCGCGGGTGCGGGCAATGCGGGCGAGTCTTTGGCATCTTTGGCGGCGCGTCGGGCGAGATTGCTCTGGTGTTTCTTGCCCTGAGTGTGCGCCAGGTATGAGCCCTCGTTGTTGTGGAGGGTGAGGCACAGTTTGCACTCGTAACTACCAAGGTGGTTCTTCATGAAGTACGGGTCTTTCGCCAAATCGATCGTCTCTAACGCCAATTGTCGCAGTCGTTCGCGTCGGTCGCGGTTCGTCTCAGACCACGAGGCGACGCCTCCGCCCCCTGTCTTCCCTCCCGGTCTGTTCTGCATATCCATCCTCTCAGGTGTTGTGTGTCTTCCTCTCCGGTCTAATCAATGGATTAATTGTCACCAAAACTGACAACAATTTGTCGATTAAATTGTTTTTACCAAACGTTTCGAATCGAACTTTCGATTCACAACAAAAATGCTCACAATTTGTACATAAATTACGGCTCTATTTGTAAAAAGGGTTTTCTATTATAAATGCCTTTTCATTGTTTATTAGGGATGAAAATAAACTCACTTTTTGCACACGTTTTACGTGATTACCCTTTGAATAAGACTTTGGGTTTAAAAAGCAATTGTCGACAAAAATAATTGATTTTTAATAAAGTTTTTTTTAAATTAAATAATTTGTTTTTATTTCAATTCATTAAATGACAAAAATAATTAAATATAAACATGAGTTTCAGTTTCTTATAAATGAGTTTTTCAGATCATTTCCCATTCAATTGGGATTTGGTTTGAATGATAGGCAGACAGTGTTTAAGGAATGGTTTCGAAGACTC